TTTTCTCATGCTTCCAAAGATAGTATTTCCTTGTTATTATGAAGATCAATTGCTACATGGGTTCCACATGTGAAATACTATTTGCACCTCTTTTGTCTGAACCGGTCATGATTCAGTGGGAATACACAGGGGAACCTGCACGAAGTGGTTCAGAATTTAGAGATGCTAGAAGTCCTAGTTTCAGCAAGAGCTCAACATCTGAATACAGTCCTGCCAAAATGTTGCTAAATGGGGTAGGGTGGTCAATACCGCAGTCGCAAGGAAATAGAGGTGCCAAAAACTTGATGCCTCAAAAACAAATATACAATCAACACAAATAATCTAGTTGAGAGGCATGTAACAACCTCAACTTTTGCAAAGCATGAACCTTGGTATTGGTTCCCCAGCACAGCAGCTAGCTGGGAAGGGCCTGAGTTTCTGGTCGACCTGGAAATATAAAGGAGGAACTTCCATGGAAAATCAGATCATCTATTATACACTCTGTCCGTGCACATCATGGAGCACTAAGGTCTTTTGCTGTTTGCCGAGATGAGTGCACGGTCTTCTCAGCCGGAGTCGGTCCAGGATTCAGGGGAACTGTTCAGAAGTGGGAATTGTCAAGAATTGATTGTCTATCTGGATACTATGGCCATGATGAGGTTTGTTCTTCTATCCCGTAAATTAATTGGATCGTCTGTATTACTATTTGCAGCAATCGTACTGTTGAGTTTAGAAAAGCCTGCTCCATTTTTTTGCTTAATTTTTCATGCTTGCTGATATAAAATATTTGCATTGCGCAAATATGCAAACAGAAACAATTTCTTATGTTGCTTTAATTTTCAATGTAGAGATCTCTATGCTCCAAACACATACTCTGCAAAATTGAAATTTATTAATGCCTGTGTTGCAGTGCATATAATGCCACCTTTCTTTTTGGCCTGTTTTGGTTATTAAATTTGTTCCTTGTACTGTAATCGAGGAGTTCAATATTGTGCTGTAAGGCTTCCTTGTAATTAAAAGATTGAGTAAGCAATTGCTTTGTATGATGCTTCCTTATACATTGGGTTTGGCAGAAAATTTTACAAAAAAACAGCAACTTGGTTATATAAACTTCGGACCAAAAACAAAAAATGTAAAACTTATAATATAGACGATGCAAATGCTCTTTTGACTTGTCATGGGTGAATACAAAAGAATGATATCAAATTAGTGGAGTACATGAATGCTTTTGCCTCCACTAGCAACCGTAAAGCAATCCCTTCTTTCCTTCTACTGCTGTAGGCCAAACTTATCATTTTCCAAATTACGTATTATTTAACAGCTAATCTGTTATTTAACAATATACTACTTTTACTGAATATTTAATTTGAGTAGATATGGATTATTCTTGTTGATACCTGATTGTCTTTCGATGTATTTGCACACGGTAATGTTTAGTTACAATAGCTATCAACTGATTTTTTGTATGCATGGCATTTAATTGGTTGTGCATGCTTTGAAAGAACTTTCAGTCCTTTATATGTCAGACTGATGCTCTGCTATCTTTCTATGGATACTAGTTCTAATGATTGATTTATGTTTATTGATTCCATCTTCAGGTTGTTAATGAAATTTGCGTACTACCATCCTCCGAAAGGGTAGCTTCTTGTGATGGAACAGTACATGTTTGGAATAGTCAAACGGGGAGACTGATATCTGTATTTACTGAATTTTCTGCAAATTCTGCACATCTTACAAGCCCTTTAGCTTCTGCACCAAAGATGAATTTTGATCAAGCTCATATACTCAATTTCAATCCACTATCAAGTGGAATAATGACTACTGCATTTGATGGAAGTTTGTACACTAGTATGCATTGCTTGGAATCCACTGATATGCTTGTAGTGGGCACCGGAAATGGTTCTCTCAGGTAACCTTCTCTTCCCGACGTTAAATTTGCATTCCCAACTGATGCAGCTAAGAAAATGTTTTTGTGTAGTTTAGTTTCCTAAATGCCTTTCCTCCTCGCAGATTCATTGACTTCAACAAAGGTCAAAAGCTTCATCTATGGAGGAGTGAATCTGTTGAATCCAGTTTCCCGTCCCTTATATCTTCTATATGCTCTTCTGGTTTTGACAAAATGCAAGCCAATGGAACTGCAGCTTTTCCATCTTGGATTGCCGCTGGACTAAGTTCTGGTAATTGCAGGTTGCTTGATATGAGGAGTGGAAATATTATTGCCTCCTGGCAGGCACATGATGGTTATGTGACGAAGGTGTGTTTAAAATTGTCAGAAACAATTGGTTGTGATATAAATAGGATTTTATTCATCACTCTGTGCTTGCAGTTGGCTGCACCAGAGGATCATTTGCTAGTTTCCAGCTCTCTTGACAGGACACTAAGAATTTGGGACTTGAGAAGGTAATGCCCTATTTATGGTCCATTCTATTAATATTCTCAATGTACTTTAAAAATAGGATAAATTATGGATTACTACCTTGTGGTTTGACCACTAGCATTTTAAAAATTTTTGTTTCTTGACTAAGATTTCTTCCCAAGGTTAAAATATTTGTCTCTTGACTAAGGTAAATCTGATTGAAGTGGATTCTTTACAATCTGCAAATGGTTTTTGTAGTTGAACTGTTCTGAACTTCTGATCATTATTCTTACAGTGTTGTCTCCTTATAGTTGTTAACTTTTCCCTGATATAGTAGCTTCTTCAACCATGAAATTTCTTTTGTCTAACAGTGATGGAATTGGAAAAAAGCATCATAACTGGTTATGGTTAATGGAAGTTGCATTGGCAAGCTTCATAGATTTTCTCTACCATCTGATTGCTGGCTCATCAAGCCTTAACTTTCCTGCTCATATTCATATTTGCAGGAATTGGACATCACAACCCATTGTTGTCAGAGGGCACAACGATAGTGTATCCAGTTTCTCTGTTTGGGGACAAGATTTGATCTCAATATCCAAAAATAAGATTGGGCTTTCTTCTTTATCTAGATCGGTTGATGAGGTATGTAGCAATTGTTCTTGTGTCCTTGTTTACTGCACAGATGCACTACTTCCATTGCAAAATTACAAAACTGTTGGTGAGTGCTGCATATACAGCTCTGATAACAACAAAACTAGGTCTAGGTGCATATATCTGATTGTTTGTGATGTCTTATCTACTCGTCTCCATAAAAAGAGCAGATCATTCTGCACGAATAAGGTCTCCTAGCTAGATAGGTCCTATTATCAATTACAGTCGATAGTATGGCTGAGTTAGGACACTTGCATTGGTGCTTCTCTCGTTCCAGTTGCAAAAATGTTGAGATGACGATGATTCTGGAGTTATATTTGATGTTTTTATTCTAGTTTTCATGGGTTCTACACATTAATACGAGAAATCAAATGTTTTTGTTTTGGCATATAACTTGCAACTTCCTGAAATGCTAATATCAATCTTTGCAAAGAAGAAATTAGATGATATTTTCACACAATTCGTGTCACAAGATCTGTGACGCAACCTCCAAATGCTCTATGTTTTGGACAGACACAAACAAATGCTTGCCCCTACGTAACTAGAGCCCCGTAGGTCCACCACTCCTATATAAGGCTAGGTTTCAACAACCATTCATTGGTAAGGCCCCACATGTAGCATTCCTGATGGCAGCTATCCTGACCTAGCCATCCATAGTTGTCAGCCTCCCTTATCCTACAACCCTCGCTGAAATTCAATTCAATGAAAGGTAGACCCTATAGAAGTAAGCCTGAGCCAGCTCTCATTACCATCCCTCTTGAACCTATCCCAACACCTATTCCCATTACCACGCCTCCATAGAACCCTCAGAACCACGTACCGGCCAGCATCACTATCCATAAACCTCACCTATTGTTATCTCAACCCCACCCTTTTATATAAGTAAGGGAAGGTAAGGCTTTCAAAGTGTGATAGAGTGGTTTTGTTATTCATGGGAAAGAGGGAGTGATTATGTGAGGTAAAGGAGCATAAAGCCACAGGCTAGCTGTTAGTTTTGAAATCACTGTTCATTTTTATTTGCTATCGTTCTTGTGTATTTAGATGCATTGATGTAATGTGGCAGGATGGGAAGCATTGCGTCACACCCCAGCATCTCTACATGGCTGATCATGAATCAAGGAACTTGTCTGTGTTATCGAGCATAACTATTTTGCCTTTCTCACGACTGTTTCTTGTTGGTACAGAAGATGGTTTTTTGAAAATCTGTTGTTAGATTGGTATCTGATAGTCGTATATGTGGTTATTGTTGTAAAAATGGTTTCTACTTTCGACCCAGTGCAACTCATATATGGGGCTTCTTGTTTCATTGTACATTATGAATGTATATTTGAACGTGAATCCATTCTTGTTAATTGGCGATTTATGTGATTTACCTTTCGGGATGCATATGATGTAGGGGGTATTGAAAGGTGGGATTTGTTTGTGTCTGGAACCGCTCATGGATTCCAAAGCTGACACGCCGGAGTTGGAAGCCCTTTTTTTTTGATTTGTGCTGTGCAAGTTGACATGATTGAACACTAGTTACCATTCACTAGACATACATTAATGGAATTAGATATGTCGATATCGCATGGTTTTTGTCACGTTTATGTGCTTTGGGTTCTCTAATATATTAGAATTTTCAGGTATGAATATTCAGATTCCATTTTAACAGTAACAAGTCTTGAGACGTTTGAAACAATAAATCATTATTCGCTACAAGAAGTAGACAACGGGTGTTTGAAACAAGAATGAACAAATTTAAGTTTTGAGATGTTGTCAGACAAAATAAAAAGAGAGAAAGATCGAGAGAGAGGAAGAGAAACATGTAGGGATGGAAGATGATTGCTATGGAAGTCGAAGAAACGAGGGACCCCACCCCTCTCGGTCGATGTTGCAGTCTTGCAGACTCTTCCCTTGTCATTGAAATGGAAAAATCTATCTACTACTTTAAAAACAGAGGCATGTAGAACTTGCTTTTTTGAAAAAGAAGAGCTCAGATCTCATGGCATTGCATCTCAACAGGAGGTTATAGATGAATCCTAAAACTTCACCATTGAATCACCCAGATTAATGAGCTTTTTCATTAAGCATCTCCCATTGCTGTAAGCATTCATGTTAATCGAAGCAAAAGATGCTCTGATTCTCACAACTCAAACTAATAACAGATATCGACAAGCGAAATTACCATGGATAGATGCGTTGTTAAACCGTTTGTTTATCGTGCGTCACTCCTTTTTATGGCATTCTTGGCACCTTCTATGGAGGAAGAGGTATCTCAACAAAGGAGCAGATGAATTAATCCCCACATATTTCTTTGGTGGCTTGCTGCCATTTGTTTCATGGCTTTCCAACATCTATTTTTCATGCTTGCCTTGGTCTATTCAGGGCTGTTCTCTTTGCTGCAAGTTTCAGCTGCAGTATCCCTAGAACCGATGCTGGCTTCTATAAATCGTTGAGGGGTGATGGTGAAGTCATGCAAACACAAGATCTCCAGGTTGAAGGGGCTTGCTTGATCATGGTGCCTATTGGGGAATATTCTTGCTGTGCAGCTTGTGCCACCATGTTGCTTTAGCGCCATGCCTATTGTTTACAGCCCCAACCAAATTGCGGCTTGGGATTCATTGCGGAGAACTATAAGTTTTTTAAATACTACGATTGTTGCCGTGGAATGGATATATATTATAGTCTCCTCCAATGGTTGCATCATTTTTTTCCCCATCTTTCTTTTTAGCAAAAACACTCTGACATGTGCTTTCAAATGGTTTCACTGCGGCAGACAAGACAACGTAAACAAACAGCAAAAACATTGATTTCTTAGCTCAACCTTTTAAGCAAGCAATATTCTCTCGGAATCATAAATTATGTAGAGAATTGATTTCTAGTAATTGATTCCTTCCACGAATTGTTTGTACCACAAAGGAAGTAGAGAATGGATTCTTGTTCCTTGGACAAACAAACAATCCACCTTTTTAAGAAAAGTATAACTCCTTTAAGAGCTTTGGAATTAAAGCTTTATTTATTTCATCCATAAAAAGCATGTTAGCCAATCTGATTGTTTCATTGTTTTAATCTATTCTAGGCGGGCCGCACTTTCCTATTCCCATGGCAGCAATCTCTCGCGACCAAGATGGTACATACGGGCTCCTCTATCCCTCTGCTGTATAAAGTATACTCTTGAAAGCTTTTATTACATTTGGATGAAGAACTAGTACTAGAGCATGCATGTGTTGTTTTCTCATGAAATCATTTCTATGGAATCAAACCATTACATTTATTACAAGAACTTTGTTATGGTGAGCAGAGCAAACTAATCTACGTGTTTTCTAATGCCCCTCTAGTTTTAACCCAGTATATATTATGCTTTAAATACAATTGAGTGGAAATAGTTATGCATAGTTTATGTATGTGAATAGTCCATACATGACTGCGACGTGCATGATTTCCAGAGTTCCTGTGAGTACAATTCTAAAAATTATATATTTGAGTCTCCTCCAATGGTTGCATCATTTTTTTCCCCATCTTTCTTTTTAGCAAAAACGCTCTGACATGTGCTTTCAAATGGTTTCACTGCGGCAGACAAGACAATGTAAACAAACAGCAACAACATTGATTTCTTAGCTCAACCTTTTAAGCAAGCAATATTCTCTCTGAATCATAAATTATGTAGAGAATTGATTTTTAGTAACTGATTCCTTCCACGAATTGTTTGTACCACCAAGGAAGTAGAGAATGGATTCTTGTTCCTTGGACAAACAAACAATCCACCTTTTTAAGAAAAGTATAACTCCTTTAAGAGCTTTGGAATTAAAGCTTTATTTATTTCATCCATAAAAAGCATGTTAGCCAATCTGATTGTTTCATTGTTTTAATCTATTCTAGGCGGGCCGCACTTTCCTATTCCCAGGGCAACAATCTGTCGCGACCAAGATGGTACATACGGGCTCCTCTATCCCTCTGCTGTATAAAGTATATTCTTGAAAGCTTTTATTACATTTGGATGAAGAACTAGTACTAGAGCATGCATGTGTTGTTTTCTCATGAAATCATTTCTATGGAATCAAACCATTACATTTATTACAAGAACTTTGTTATGGTGAGCAGAGCAAGCTAATCTACGTGTTTTCTAATGCCCCTCTAGTTTTAACCCAGTATATATTATGCTTTAAATACAATTGAGTGGAAATAGTTATGCATAGTTTATGTATGTGAATAGTCCATACATGACTGCGACGTGCATGATTTCCAGAGTTCCTGTGAGTACAATTCTAAAAATTATATATTTGAGTCTCCTCCAATGGTTGCATCATTTTTTTCCCCATCTTTCTTTTTAGCAAAAACGCTCTGACATGTGCTTTCAAATGGTTTCACTGCGGCAGACAAGACAATGTAAACAAACAGCAACAACATTGATTTCTTAGCTCAACCTTTTAAGCAAGCAATATTCTCTCTGAATCATAAATTATGTAGAGAATTGATTTTTAGTAACTGATTCCTTCCACGAATTGTTTGTACCACCAAGGAAGTAGAGAATGGATTCTTGTTCCTTGGACAAACAAACAATCCACCTTTTTAAGAAAAGTATAACTCCTTTAAGAGCTTTGGAATTAAAGCTTTATTTATTTCATCCATAAAAAGCATGTTAGCCAATCTGATTGTTTCATTGTTTTAATCTATTCTAGGCGGGCCGCACTTTCCTATTCCCAGGGCAACAATCTGTCGCGACCAAGATGGTACATACGGGCTCCTCTATCCCTCTGCTGTATAAAGTATATTCTTGAAAGCTTTTATTACATTTGGATGAAGAACTAGTACTAGAGCATGCATGTGTTGTTTTCTCATGAAATCATTTCTATGGAATCAAACCATTACATTTATTACAAGAACTTTGTTATGGTGAGCAGAGCAAGCTAATCTACGTGTTTTCTAATGCCCCTCTAGTTTTAACCCAGTATATATTATGCTTTAAATACAATTGAGTGGAAATAGTTATGCATAGTTTATGTATGTGAATAGTCCATACATGACTGCGACGTGCATGATTTCCAGAGTTCCTGTGAGTACAATTCTAAAAATTATATATTTGAGTCTCCTCCAATGGTTGCATCATTTTTTTCCCCATCTTTCTTTTTAGCAAAAACGCTCTGACATGTGCTTTCAAATGGTTTCACTGCGGCAAACAAGACAATGTAAACAAACAGCAACAACATTGATTTCTTAGCTCAACCTTTTAATCAAGCAATATTCTCTCTGAATCATAAATTATGTAGAGAATTGATTTCTAGTAACTGATTCCTTCCACGAATTGTTTGTACCACCAAGGAAGTAGAGAATAGATTCTTGTTCCTTGGACAAACAAACAATCTACCTTTTTAAGAAAAGTATAACTCCTTTAAGAGCTTTGGAATTAAAGTTTTATTTATTTCATCCATAAAAAGCATGTTAGCCAATCTGATTGTTTCATTGTTTTAATCTATTCTAGGCGGGCGGTACATTCCTACCTACCTTAGCAACCCTATTCCCATGGCAGCAATCTCTGGCGACCAAGATGGTACATATGGGCTCCTCTATCCCTCTGCTGTATAAAGTATATTCTTGAAAGCTTTTATTACATTTGGATGAAGAACTAGTACTAGAGCATGCATGTGTTGTTTTCTCATGAAATCATTTCTATGGAATCAAACCATTACATTTATTACAAGAACTTTGTTATGGTGAGCAGAGCAAGCTAATCTACGTGTTTTCTAATGCCCTTCTAGTTTTAACCCAGTATATATTATGCTTTAAATACAATTGAGTGGAAATAGTTATGCATAGTTTATGTATGTGAATAGTCCATACATGACTGCGACGTGCATGATTTCCAGAGTTCCTGTGAGTACAATTCTAATACCAAATGCTACACCCTCATTTTGAATTTTAATGTTTTATGTTATCAATATGATCATTCGCATCACCATCCTCATTATCATAATTGCTATCGCAGGAGTTCTCAAGTCGGTTTCAGACACACCACCTACTCATTTCACCCTCAAAATTCAATTATTTTCATTACTAACAAAGAACAACATTGAGAGATACACTTCAGGTGATTTCGAAGCTGCAGGTTATAAATGGTACTCTCTCTCCCTCCCTCTCCCTCTCTGTGTGTATTGTATTTACGTTGATTGTATCTCTTTGTCATTCCTTTATTTTTGATGTAGTTGCGACAATAGTTCAGTATAGTGGCTATAATCACCTTTTGATTGCAAATTGCTGTTTTATCAGTTTTCGGATGTTGTTTTATTTGCTGCATGCAGGAAGTTGGTTCTTTACCCAAATGGAAACAAGAACAAAAATATTAAAGATCACATCTCTTTTTACTTGATGATATCGGAAGTTAGTTCATTGCATCCTGGTTGGGAGGTGCATGCTGCTTTTCGACTGTTTTTGCTTGATCAGAACAAAGACAACTACTTAACACTTCAAGGTGTCATCTCCAATTCAGCAATAGTGTTACAGTTTTGTATTGCCTCTTTTTCTATCTTTGTACTAGTTGCATTGTTCTCATGACTCACTACCAGATTTCATCACGCTAGTAAAACGTCACAGTTTCATGCTTCAGTCTAAACTATCAAGTTGCCTTTTTCATAATACACTCCCATAAAATGTGATATTGGTAATCATGTGGTTAACTTGCTTAGATACAAGAAGAAAGGGAAGACGCTTTTATGGAATGAAGCTGGAATGGGGTTTTGATCGGTTCATCCCTCTTACTACATTTTCCAATCCTGATAATGGGTATCTTGTCAACGATACTTGTGTCTTTGGAGCAGAGGTCTTTGTCTGTCAGGAGAAAAAAAAGGCTAAAGAAGAGTCATTATTGATGATGAAGGACGCTATTAAGTACAAGCACACTTGGAAAATTGAGAAATTTTTAAAGTTAGACAAAGGGTGTGAAGACTCTGACACATTCAATGCTGGAGATCAAAAATGGTAATGCAGTAATGAATTTCTTCCCAGATATAATCTAGACAAAATCTCAAGAATTATATATTTTCTTTTTTATTTTACATGTTAATGATGAAAGATTTTGCCCCAAATTTTAAACCATCCCATTTACAGAGTCTTCAGTTAAACTGCATCATACATATTAACAACAACATTGAATCATTTGCTACATGATATTTTTGTTGTTGCTGGTTGTTGCAGGAAGATACAACTATATCCAAAGGGAAAAAGCAGTGGCATAGGAACTCATATATCTCTGTATCTGGCTTTGGCTGATCCCACAGCCCTTCCTCCTGGCTCCAAAATATTTGCAGAGTTCATATTGCGTATACTAGACCAAACGCACAGCAATCATGACTTCGGAAAAGGTAAATATAGGCTGATCTTATGACTCACAGGTTAGGCAGTATAAAAACTGTCTTGGCTCAATGCTTTCCTAAATCTTAGGATTGGAAAATGATCCACTTATATATCAACATGCTCATATAATAAGCTTGCCAATTTCTGTGTTCTTGCAGCGACTTACTGGTTCAGTGCATCAAACCAACAATGTGGTTGGCCTCGATTCATTTCACTCAGTTATTTCAATTCATCTTTCAACGGCTTTCTGGTAAAAGACAGTAGCTGGGTGGAAGCAGAAGTCATTGTCCATGGGGTGGCTAATGCACAGTAAGAAGTGCTTTATTGTGTCAAATTTGTGGGTGTATATAAATAATTGCACATTGGCACATAATAGATAGCACAATGTATATGTATCTTGTGACTGAATGGTTATGGGTGTTTTACAAATAGTTCAATGAAAGTACTCTATAGAACATTCTAATCATCATATGCTTGACTAATATTTTATCAATTTTTTGTGTGTGAATAAAAGTGATAAGATTTGATCCCGCCAACTACGTAGATAGGTCCTTTTCTTTGTAATTGTGGGTATCACTGCAAACTCCCTTTTGGTATATGGATCTTGACAACCCCCAGAAAACTGAGTAGGCTGACATCTTCAAATAGTAAAGATACCTGTAAAAGATGCAAGCTGGAAGTTATTTTGCCAAACTTGAACTGAACCTTATGATATAGCATTGTCTTAATTGACCTGCAATGAATTGGTTCTTCTAAAGGTACAAAGGCAATAAATAAAATCTTCCAAAATGATCGTCCTGCCCAATAAACAGAAAGCAAAGAACGATGACGACTTTGAAGGCAAATGACACGACAATATACAAATATTGTTAAGATTCGTAAGGTATAATCTACAATATAACAGTTACATTTGGATCAAATCTTTTCAAAAGATTGCTAGAGGACAAACAAAATGAAAAAAAAAAGGGAGGGGTTCTCACACGATCCATAAATGGTGCTATAACCTCTACATATGGAATTTTTTTGGCTTGGATTGCTGCCAGCAGAATCACCACAAAAAAAGCTAATCCTTTCTTCATGTGTAGCATGCGAGCCTCACCTGTATGCTAAGGAGATGTCCCATCAGATTTTGGCCTTGTGTACCCCAGATTGATTAACTTCTGCACCAACTTTTTCTCCGCATCTGCCTGAAAGCCCCAATGAAAAATTAGGGGGAAGTATGGATCAAAAGCTAGGAACTAGAACCAACAGGCTTAATCATCTGGTAAACTATATGAGGAGAGAGAGAGAGAGAGAGAGAGAGAGATTAAACCTCAAGCATGGGGCTATTCTTTGGAATGTTACAAGCCACTATTACGTTAAGACCAGTCTTCAATGCTGTGAAAAAAGGTTGCTTATCAGCCCGCGGATCTGAAGAAATACTCCGAAATGATTCATTGCGAATTGAGAATTTACCTAATCGACGAGCAATACCAGATCCGGTATTATCAGAAGCCCCTCCAAGTAGGGACGTAACACTCACTGTGTTGTTCTGGCCACCACCAAATAGTAAGATAAACTTAGCATTTGCATCATGGAATATGAGTCAAAATAAATTGTATGTTGCGTTATAAAATGAGATCTTGTGATTGCAATTGGCCAAAATTAATTCAACATTTGATTTAATCTTCCAAAATGCTATTTCCAAGGCCTGAATTCCAAGCTGCCAAGTGCAGCATTAGATCAATTTTGACAAGGTCTTCCATTCCACTTCAGCCGATTCCATGCTTCTAAACGCAGCCAAAAAGGCAATTCTAAAGAGCTAAAAATTGTAAACTTACAGGTCGTGTAGGTGCAGCAGCATATAGATGTCCAAATTTGGCAGAATTGCAACCGATCCATGCATATATCTGCACATACAGAAGAAGATGAAAGGTTATAGAGTCTCCATATCAACTGTGAGATACACTATCAAGTAGAAAGCTAACATACAAAGGAAAATTAACAAAAATAACAGTAGTCTGTCCACAATGATTATCCACTGTATGTACTTGGCTTACACCTCCTTTTATCTTTTCAGGAATGCTGTAGTTGTATTTTAATTTTCTTCTTTTGCTGGTTAGGGGCTTTTAATTTTACTATTGTGTCCTCCGATGAAACAAAAAAAGTTGGTTATCAATTACAATAAAGTTATGATTATCATACAAATTTCTAATTGTTAGTCATGGTATAAGGATGTCCATGCTCCTCAGAATATCAACTCCCTTGCCTTTTTTTTTCAAAAGCAATATCCAAGTGCTTTGCATTTTAGTCAAATTGGGGTTCAGCTCAAGTGCCGGGATTGGGTGCAGCAGGGGTTGGCACAAGTCGAATATTCACTCCAGTGGGCAGACGCTGTGCTGTGCATTTCTCTAATTATTTACTCTCTTTTCCAGAGTAGAAAACTTACAGCAAACAACTAAAGAGGACAATCAAAAGCTTTTCAAATTTGATCAACAATATATATGAAGAAATCATTCAACCCCCAAAAGGAGGGTAGACTTGGGTCTAGGCTTTGCCTGGTACGTGGCTGCGGTGGGAACCAGGAGAGGAGGACAGCAACTATAACCTTACCTGCTTGTGAAGACGAATGATCTGAAAGTGGAGGGTGCCGTTGTCGGAGACCTCAGAGAAGCAAGTGATGTGCACACCACAATCGATGTACCCACAAACTCTGTTGTTGTTGTGATTAATCTGGGACTGGGAACTTCCAGTTGATGGTGTCTCCTCCTCTGCAATTCTCAAACCATCTGGGATCGATTCCATTCCAATAGCAGCAGCAGCAGCATTCAACCCTCCTCCTCCTGTTTCCATTTCATACACTCTGACACTAACAATTATATGTTGTTTGTTGTTTGTCAGACTGTTATGATGGTATGAGAATTCATTCCTTCCTACTGATTTGTACTAGGCTAGGGAGAGGGCTTTTAGTGTCATTGAGAATACTCTGGGGTTTTACCTTCTTTACCTTTATGGATATACTAGCACTAACTCGTGACTTTCACTGTGTAACACAAAAAATTGAGCACTGGTCATGCAATATGACGATTACAATTGAAGATCGTACCCATAAAAATGAAATCAATCCCATTTAATTCGATTTTGGCTAAATTTTTCTGATAAAAATTCAAATCAAACTTCACAGCAATTCAATACTGTGAATCTGTGATACAGCCATATGTAAAAATTGGCATTATATAATTTGAAAAGAAACCAACCAATTTAACCTAAACCTCTCAGTCGATGCTCAAAAAAAAATGAAGACAACTCAATGAATAATTCACGTCAAATTTATACTGTTGAAAAGTCTCGGCATTTATACTATCGAAAAGTCTCAATCTTCACGTCAAATAAAATATTTATCATTTCACAAATTTTACAAATACAATGTGGGGTAATCTTGGTTCAAGGTTTTACTCACTGTTAAGGTGCTTGTTGAAGAACATAAGAATTCAACCAAATTGGGCATGTCATTGAACACCTAAAAGGAAATATTATATCCTGTCAGAATATAAGCAATAAATTTCATGAGAAAGAAATCTAGTTTAAAACCATACATGAACAACAGAGAATTATTTGAATATCACTGCAAGCCTCAAACTACAATATGTAAAGTACCCAATAACTCCAAAGGTGAAAAGTGAAGTTCTCAGATGAAGTCCTCTCCTTCCACAATGGTATTCCCACACCCAAACGTCCCAGTTCCAATAATGTTTGAAGCCTAAAACACCACAAAAACCCTCAATTGATAAGGAACTAAATAGCATTAGAACTACAATTCACAATTCACAGAGTGCTGCTCCATAGATTGTGAAGTTTCGTGTGTAAATGACATAGACTAAGAGTGTCGTGAGAAAATATAACGCAATAAGTAGTATCGCAAGCAATTCTAAGATTTCAACAAATGAACCTCCAGTCTATTCAATAATAAGAACGCTTATTCCAAAGCTATAAAATCGAAGCTGCTAATCATTGAGAAATTGCTTATATGAATTTTCTTTGAAGCAAAACATCAAACTTGGGCATAATATATTGAAATGCAGTATAACTCTAATTGAAGCAGCTACAATACTATCTCACACAGCCCCATACTAAAGTTCAACTAAACACTTCCAAAAAACCACAACCCACAGCCCTTGCCCCTCACTTCCCCCACTCAACGCAACCCTACACAACCTCCTTACCCCATCTCCCCAACCCAAAACAGATCCACCCCCCCGGACGCAGCGCAGCCACTTCCTCCCCCATCTCCCTAACCCAGAACAGATCCCCTCGGCGCGACGCAGCCCCGTTCCCCACACTACGGGCCCTCCCTAGCTCATCCATTCCTAGATCCGCTTAGATCTCTATCTCACCCACTTACATAGTAGATCTCCCAACTTAGATCTCTACAAAGCGAGGGTTGGGTGGGGTTTTGGCGGTTTATAAATTTTTATTGTTGCATTAGAACAAACGAATTTTGCCGTTATTTTTTGGGGATTTCTCCGTGTGATTGGGCTTGCAGTGGAGGGGTGGGTGGGGAATTGGGCAGAGGTGGGGTGGGACAGGGTGTGTGTGTGTGCGTGTGTGTCGACTTACACGGGAAGGTGAGAGAGGGGGGTGACTGGTGGGAGCTTGCGACAGAGAAAGAAAGAGGTAGAAGAGAGAGAGAAAGAGAGATGGAGGGATACATACCTGGTTGCTAGCCGGATAGTCTGTGTCGCTGGTCGAGTCTTTCAGGCATGTGTGCGTGTGTCGCAGCTCGGCGGGTAGAGAGAGAATGCAGGCGAAGTGAGGGAGTCTTGTAAGGCATTTTTACTCCTTAAATTATACCAAATTTAATATAATGATGAAGTTTTTTTGTGTAGCGATAAATTTAATTTGGTGTATATATTTAATATAATTATGCCATAATATTAAATAATTTAACTCTTTAATTTATATTAATAACTGAATAATAAATTAGGTTAATGTTGTAATTTTGTACAATTGTTTAGTGTACCTATTTAGTTTTATTAGAACATATGAGTAATTATTTGGTGTAATATAAAATAATTATAATTAATTAGTGTAATTGACTAATATAATTATATTGTTGTAATATTAATATATGAAGAAATAAAAAGAGAGAATAAGAAAATAACGAGAGAGAGAGAATGAGAGTGAAAAGAAATATGAGAGAAAGATAAAAAAATTAAATCAAATTTTTACGTATTTTAAACCAGAACCAGGGGTTTTCGAGCCTGCTGCGTACGATTAGCCAGCCTTGCGGCGGCAAAAGGATAACGTGGCGAAGCGGATTGTGGGTCATGGACTACAGTCCTGTTTCCCCGCTTTAATGTTGAGAATGAGAATGTAGGGATTGTTGTCTTTGGTAGTGATACTGCTATTAAAGAAGAAGATCTTGTCAAGCGCACTGGGACAGAGGGGCTAGTTTCCATAGACCAGTGAGTAGGGTTGACTCGATTTTGACCAATGACCCGAGGTAATGCGGAGTGATTCTATTCACGATTCTACCCGAGTTAAGCCTTTCAATAACCAATGTAAGAGAAAGAACCAATGTAAGAGAAACAGAGAGAAATAGATAAATAAAAAATATGGAAGGGAGTAATGGAGAGAGAATAATGGAATAATAAATAACATTTTTAGTCTTTTTTTTTTTAAAATACACTTAAAACTAAATAAATTTTCTTAATATAGTTTAATTTAAATAAATTAAAATTTTTGTACCAACTTTCAAATCCCACCATTTACAAATGGTAAATTCCAAGTTCAATGGTATGGGCCCAAGATGGGAGGCCTCATGTTTACTGGTCTTCGGTCCTCTCTATGAAATGAGACAGAGGACGCCCGCTTCCATCTATCAGAATCAGACCGGATTAAGATGAACTAGCTAGCACAAATAGACATTACATGTTATGTTTCCCAATTCTGCCAAAACCTAAATGACCAGTCTTATATCATCATCATCATTAACACAAGAAAAAGAATTAGAAATTCCAGCCGAATAGGCCAGTACAACAACTGCTACCTACTTACAAGTGTACTTTACCTTGATCCATACTTTAGAAGCTCCCACCTGAAGGGCTGGAACACACAATGAACCTCAGGTGAACTTTTGAAGAGCAGAGCCACACATACACAGACGGCAGCAATTGCAACAATCGAAACCATTGCTGGCCTGTAGATTGCCAGTGATGTTCTGCCACTTCCATAAGCCAACTTTTGTTCGCATAGCTTGCATCGTTTCTTGTTTGCTATCATTACAGCCTTCTCTGTTTCAAAACTAGCAACTTTCCCTGATTTATGCCCATCTGCCAGTTTCTGCTTCATGTTGCAGCCTAAAAGGGCACCAGGGATGTCAAGCATTACATGCCCACTTCCTGATTTCTCGTTGATTTTCTTTTGGATCATATGAATGTACAGGTAGCGGCCTCGTAGGCACGCATAATCATTGGGTGTCAATCCAGTACTGTCACGAGCACTCCTCCATGCTTTGATTCCCACCTGAACAAAACCAATCTGTATGAGCACCTGCAGGACTTCTCAAGTATTTCTCCTTTTGGGGAAAAATGAAAAGTAAACAAAAAGGTCACAGCAAAACTTGCTGCCTGGGATACACACAACATTGGAATAACATGTTCTTTTTCACATAAACATACCTGCAAAGAAATTTTCATATTTTTCCTACAAAAATCTCATCAGCATGCTTTAAGATTTTTGGCACAAACATATCCAGCTGGCTCAATCCCATTTAAAATTTAAACATCACTTTGAGACGCTAATGGAATACGTAAAAACTCAACATTCATGGAAACTTCTTTCTTTTCTTGATCTTTTTGTTCAACCAAAAAGGGGTTCCAAAGACTAGACAATTCTAGAATCTTGAGAAAACCACCCCCACACAAAACCCACACTGTAGGAATGCTGATCTGTGTGGGTCCTACAGATGTGGTGATTACAAATCAGCTGCATGCATTACAATCTTAGTACTGATCTCTATAGATTACTCCGCTTTAGATTTTTGACCAAAACAAAGATCACATACGTAAGATGATGAGGAATGCTGAGTCATGAGCAGAAGAAAAAAAAGACAACAAAAATTACGAATGTCAACTTTAATATATCATTTCAGACATGGAAATCAAAAACCTAAACCTGTACTGAGAGAGAGAAAGAGATATACCGATCCAGGATCATCAGTTAATGCATCCAATACATTCTCGGAGCCATCTCGACTAGCAGCTATGTGAAGAGGAGTCAAGCCCCTAGGGCCAATCGCATCAGGTCTAAATAAGTTACAGCCCCCATCAAAATGTTGCTTCTGTTCAGATCCAGATTTCTCCAAAACTCTGTATGGGTAGTATCTCAAGAGGAATTCTACCATAGGCCGGCAGTTTCTCAGCACAGCTTTGTGGAGGAGGCCAATCTCCAGCAATGCATGTTCAACAGAAGGGTGCTCCCCTGCATCTACAGAACCATTGAACAGAATGCCTAGAAGTTTCTCTACTACAGCATGCCAGTCATGGTCAATGGAGAACTCCATGAGCCACCTGAACCGCTTGAAAGGGAATAGATCCAAGTTGGGATCCATACCATCCAGTCTGAATTTCAAGTAATTCCTATGAAGAAGCCAACCCATTTCATGTATAAAGTCCAAAGCTTGATTCCTGGCTTCTATTTTTTCAGTTTCTCCGAGTATATTATCAGCAGTTCCTGCAACCTCCACGACACTCTCCAGTGTACAAATTTCAGAACAAACATCCTGCTCTGCAACTATAAATGGAAAGAAGCTGCTGCTGAGACCATGGTCTTCCACCTAACCAGACAAACAGGACTATAATTTAGAAATAGACACTGTATCCGATGAAGGGAGAAATATGTGTATCCATCACATCTTATGGGTCTAATGCCATTGATAAAATATATATAAACAAGTAAAGCCACTTTTTTTTTTTACAGGGGAAAGGGAGGGAGAATGGGGACATCAAGGCTAACCTACATCTAAAAGACAAGTAGACATTGTATCTAATGAAGGGAGAAATTTGTGTATCCAGCACATCTTACGGGTATCATGCCATGATAAAATACACATAAGCAAGTAAAGACACTTTTCCTTTACAGGGGAAAGGGAGGGAGAGAGAGGTGGCTGGATTAAGGCCATGTAAACTTAGCTCGAGGAGACTCAAGGAGCAAAGATTAGTGCTATTGTAAAAACCCCGTGGGTGTTGCTTTTGCTAAGGAAAATCAATAGAAATGTCAAGAATTATTTTAAAAAATGGGCAAATAACAGCACCTCAATAAATCCTCTCCCACTGACATTTGGTATCGAGCAAGGGAAGCTTAAGGACTGGACTTCACGATTCTCGAGGAATAAATCAGCTCCCTCCATCATGTCACAACAACTTCCCTGGACTAAATACTTCCCTTCCAGTGCGCAAAGTAACCTGACACAGAACATAGAAATAAGTTATTGGTGCAGCGGCCCCAAAAAATTCAAGTCACAACATTATCTGAAAAACAAGACACTTGTCATTAAGATCAAGGTGTGGCTTGCATCCATAGAGAACATGGACACCTTGTGGTGGACCGAGAAAGGTTAAAGCCTTTGACTAAAAATTGAACTCTCTCGGAGACGGAAACTGCAATTGGTTTGATGCTTGAGATCCTGCAATTTTTATGACTTTTATGCGGCAAGGGTGTGTCTAGAACAACCTGACCTGCCACACAAGTAGAGGAAATCAATATTTGTGATCTTCCTAATATAGATACAACAGTACACAATTAAATCGGAGGAAAAGAAGAAATTATAAAGAGAAAGAACAAACCATTATATACAAATGCTACACGATGCCGCACTCTAGTATAAATCCATCCCGTTCTCCAAAAAGGATCACTGGATCCATCAAGAAGCCTCCTTAAACTGGAGCTCAGATCACAGCAGAGCTGAAAGCAATAGTAACTAGGAAAGTTAGACATGATTTCTCGAGGGTCACACACAAAACAAGCTGTTCATGAATAGCTCAGGTCAGGTTCAATAATTGGCTCGTTTCGACTTGGTCAACCGTTTGGTATTCGGTTCATTCAATCACCCATTGGGGTGAGCTCGATCTTTTGTTTTAGAGCTCAATTCCAGCTCAAGTCAAGTTTGAACACCTTTATCTGAACCAAGCCAAGCACAAGCAAGCCAGTACCCAGCTTCGCTTGTTTTATTTGCACTCTCATGTCACCCAAATGGGGATTAACAGTATATTTCTGGTGAAGACACAGAAACTTACCTCCTCCCATGTGGGTTTTCCCATTTGGAGATATATTGTTAATATGATACAACCAGGCTTGATGTAGCCTTCAATTTCTGTGGGACTGTGGGATAACCAGTCAAGGATCTGGAAATTCATGACATATGATAAGATCAGACTCCAAGAGAAAACACCAAAAAAAAAAAAATGTAAAGAAACAACTTCATATCCCCGAAATAGTGGAATACCTGTTTTCTCAGAACAAGAGGTAAATCATTAGGATCTTTTCCGAAGAGTTTAAAAACAATTCGATCTGTGCGACTCTGGAAATTAATCAAAAAAATACAGTTATGATGAAAAAAAAAATCCATGCAGGCCAAATAACAGTTTAAGAAATTATCTCCATTAGAAAGAATCTTGGTTTATACGTGTTTGGCAACCTCTGTGTGGCACTTCACCAAAGTTCATTATTATGAAAAATATCAACTCCAGCCTTTTTTTTTGGATAGGAAATGAAACATATTATATTAAAATAAAAGTGGAATTACATGAAAGGCGGTTGGACAAGAAATCCAACCACAAAAGAGCAAAAATAAATGAAAGGGAAAAACATAAAAAGTCCATAGATCACGTGATGCGCTCCATCTCGATAAACTAGTAAAGAATGGGATTCCTTTGAAATCTTTAGAAACCGAAGCTCAAAATGACGAAATAAAATGAATCCAATCCCTTAATCCATCCAAACACTACACTGATCTTAAAAGATTCTGACATTCCTCTCTTAATTAACACAACCAACGAACAACAAATAATAGCCATAACTATTTCATTTTTTAGGAATAAATATTAGCATAAGAAAATCCAATAATCATATTTTATCCAAAAGAGATTACCATAAGTAATATAGAAAATGCATGCAAAAAAATTTCTTCATTCCAAAAGCTTAAGCAGCCTTTTCCACTTTACATTTTGCAAACTATCGCCTTCATCTCATCTAGAAAAGATAAGTAGAATTTTCACGTGCATATGTGAGCGTGTGGGAGTATGTTTGGGTGGTAGCAAAAGTTTATGATGTAGTGATTATTATTTCAAATGTTTCATGTGTGAACTCTGCATAAACAGAGCTTCATCCATTTTAATTCATGCCATACAACTTCCAACTTCTGCCCTTCAATCACAATCATTCAATGAAGACATGCAAAGGAAACAATGATATACCTGAGCCTCTCCACTGGAACTAGACAGTGACTGTGAAGATGTGGAACCTGAATTCCCACTTGTCTGAGGTGGGGTTGACTTGTGAGAGTCTTGGTGCATCCATAAAGGACAACCAACAGACCCATTCCCTAGATTTGCAGGGGCATCAAACCTCTCCAGGTTGCCCGTGCAGTCCTGAGAATCGTCATATACATTATTCAAATCAATGGTATTCAATCTATTCCTCTCCATCGTATTCTCCAAGGCATTTGTTCTGGGCGAAATTCTGTCATTTGTAGAATCAGACGTATTATGTAGAATCCCAACATGAGTGTCACCAGCAGTTAATTTTCTCTTTGGTGTCATTTCAGATGCAGGTACAGTGGCACATTGTCTGATAGGCAAAAGGTGGTCCTAAAAATCAAGGCAAGCAACAATCTTATAAGTTAAACAAACAAAACCAGACACATTTAGGACCATCCGGAATCAGATTTGGCACCTTTTCTGAATTTTCAAGAGATGTCCCAACATTTCTCAAATCTTGAGATTCTGGCGGTAGGGCATTTCTTTCATTAACTGTACCTGAAAGACTGGCCAGGTTTCTCAATAGATGAGACAGCAGATCCTGATCCTTTGTCTGATCTGAGCCATTAGCTGCAATTCACAGAGAAGAGAAGCTGTAACGTTAAAGAAATACCCCAAACATAACACTGACATGAATCAAAATCAAATATTTTTTTTTTTGGAGGGGGGGGGGGGAGGAAGAAGATGCTGATAATAAACTAATGAATGAAAAGCCAAAATAAATAAATAACAGAAAGTGTACTAATTATGCCTTCATAGTTAAATAATGGAATTAGGTTGAACTTTCACATATTCATCTGCAAAGGAATGTACATGTCTTGGTCGTTTGCTTTCTATTTGATTACAATCCCAAATATCAAAATGTAATTTTGCTAGCAGTCCTGTTCATGTAGTATAGACTATAGAGTTAATTTATGGCTGCAAGTTGCTACTAAGACTAAGAAGCCCAAACACATGGCACAACAACTTGGCGAGAACCGTGTATATATATAACTCACAAATTATAATAAAGTATAAAACACCGACCTATTATTTAAAGTTTCAAACAATACTCAACTTCCCAACATCATTACAGGATCAACGCAATAAAATCATGAAATAAAAATTCGAGAAAAAATTAAAAGGAAACCAGATACAAACCTTTAGCATGATGGCTAAATCGTCCACAAACATTAGAAGAAGCGCGACACTTATTTTAGTATGAAGGGTATGATGTCGACAATCACTGGAGACAGATCCGACAGTGTTACATAGTCATAAAATAGACTGATTTACCAATCCACAAAAATACAAGGCAACTTCAAAATCAACTGTCCTAAATGTGTATATTGTCAAATAGACCCCAAATCAACAAAACCTTAATCACGGTAGTTGGCCTGATCCTACCTTTACCACATAGACCCTAAGGATTACTACAAACATCACCCAACAAAATCTTATCCCACATACTGGGGATTGGATAAATCATTTGAAATTCATGTTATTGACTAAAAATTTACAAAGTTAAAAAAAAAAAAAAAAAAGGCTCCATCAGGCAGGTTTCCATGCTAGAAAACTTATGGCACTATTCCCACATCCTCCCACAGTTATTAACCCTCAACATAACGAACTAGTCCTCTGGTTTAGGCTGAAAAAAGTACAAAAATAAAAAAATATATAAATAATCTAAATACAGGACGTTTTGCATAAATAAATGTTGATTTTATGTACCCTGAAATGGTTCGAATCCACGAAAGAAACCACATACCAGATGATTTCCCAAACTTCACCATTGCCACCATGCTCTAGAATCAAATCCAATTGATTCTTTCAAAGCCCCAAATTGTCATCTTTCAAATTCCAATCAGACCCTTTAACTCTATAGTTGTAATTTTTAAATACCACTAGATCAATTATACTTTAAAAGACACGAAAGGTTATCTGTGGTTGAACTTTAAAACCTCGTTAATGTCAAATTGGCACTTTCTATTTTCTTCATCCTGATTGGATTCTGCAGTATATTCCTCTGAGTGATCGAAGTTCTAAGAGAAACTCAAAGAAGCAAAGAGATGCCGCCTAAGAAGGCCCAAATACCGTGTAATGCCTAGAAGCATCAAAGGCCATCTGTAGTTTTTGCTCTCAATATCTGATTAACACAATCCACTTTTCAACAAAGAAGATTGCATCAGTATCTAAATCACGTATCAAAAAAGCTTGCTTTTGTTCACCTTTCATCCAACTGAGAAAAAATTTGCTAACCATTACTCTCACTTTGATGAGTCAAGAATCCTTATCCTTAATTTCCTCTCATAATTATTTAAACATGTCACTAGCACCTCAAGAAGAAAATGTCGGCTTTTAAGGAAGAAGTACATGTCAATCTATCAACTCATCCACCATTCTCACACGAAGAGATTTCCAATTGTTAATTTTACAGAGTTGTTGACAGTGTTATCAATAGGAAGCAATTTGTTAACAATAAATGGTGACCTTAAAAGGGATCTTCAAAGCTGAAAGCGCACAGGAATTGTTATCAACAAATCAATTTGCTGTGATATTACTTATGCAATGAAGTACTGTCCATATAAATTAGGGTTGTCAATCGTGTCGGGTTAAACGGTTACGTAACATACAAACCTATACACGACACGTTTAATAAACAAGTAAAATATTTTAACACGACACGAATTGTTTAACCCATTTAAAAATAACAAAAAAAATTATTATTTTAACAAATTTTTACACTATTTTTTTTTCTTACAATTGTACTTTCCTCAATTGGGAGGAGTTCCAACCAAAAGTCCATGTGACAAGCCACACCACAAAAATTAGCTAAAAGGAGGAGGGCCACTACCTCTTTCATAGGCAACTAAAGCCCCCTCCCCACTCCCCTGTGTCGATATGGGATTCAAAGAAAATGTCATTCACCGCCTCAAAGCCCCCTTTTCCTTACTTTTTTTTTTTGAAATATTTTCTTTATTGTTTTTTTTTACTCATTCATTATTATATATATATATATATATATATATATATAATAATTATTAATTTATTATTATATTAAATTTATTTAAACGGATAAACGGGTTAACAGGTTTCACTCAAATACAACCTGTTTATTAAACGTGTTTGGCGGGTCAATCTGTTTACCTTCCAAACCCGTTAAGGTCTCACCCAAACCCGTTTAATCGATTTATGTCGGTTAATCATGTCGTGTCGAATTTTAACAGGCCTAATATAAATCAAAGAAACAAATTAAACAATATTTTCAATGAGATAGATACTTACAGTGAATATTGGAGAGTATCCTAAGCAGACTAACCAATAAATAACTACTATCCGTTTCATCATTTAGGGGGGCTCCATTAACAACATTTTCTGGATGTGTCTTCCTTCTCCGTCTATTATGACCTGCCAAACGCCTGCGACAACTTCTCTTCCCTTCATCAAACTCATGAAGAAGATGGAACCTGCCCACAAGAATAACCAAATTGCATCCGACTGCATAAAGAAATATTCACACAAAACCAACTACACTAAACATTGGACCTGACCGAGTAATGTATAAAATCAAGAACAATATTTGTGTGATAGTGAATCAAACTCATTTTGGGTGCAGCATGTAACAAAAAGCGACTAATTAGACTTAGACGGCCCAAATTGTTCTTTATTGTCAATCCCTGGACGATCACCACAAGCAGAGAATTCATAGAAAGCCTTGGAAAGCAATCTGCATACAAGAACTGACCTGCTGCACTGCTGACAGAACCGCTGCATAACATTTCCCACCAACGCCCCAGTGGCTTTGGAATGCATATCACAAACCTTATGTCGTCTGTGATAATCTTTGGCATTGCTCAAATCAGCTCGACAGTCCTCCACCTGACAAATCACACTGCTCGATGTAGGCCCAACGACCTTAGTTTTCTTCCCACTCTTCCCTTCCCATTTTTCCATTCCCCCAGCGGCAATAGGATACACTTGCCCACCAAGCTTCAAATTAAGGGACCCAGATTCATCATTCAACTCTTCATCCTCAACGATTACAACCCTCCTCCGTTTCTCCAATTCTCTCTTCCCTTTTTCATTCTCCAAACTAATTTCATCTGAACAAGGTGACAAACTATTAAAATCTGTATTGGCAGGAATTTCGGACCCAATAGGAAACAACTGCCTACTCTGGCACTCTGATGTACAGAATTCAGTGGAGCAGCCTTAAACAAGTCACCATCCCATTTCCAGTCATTCAAGTCCCATTCCATACTCTTCTTCCCAACCGCCTTTAAATCCGACACCATTGAACCATAGAAATGATGAGTCTTTCCTCCATATTTAGCCTCCATTGTTCAAAGCTTAGAACACGCAGAAACCGAAAACAAAATGAAACGAAAACACAAAAAACCCCGATTCCACTTCCCACCGAATACACGGTCAACTTCTAAACAACAAAAAGATCAAATTTTGGTTACAACCCCAATTATTGATTTACCACTAATTCCGATTGACTCAAAATTAAGCCACCCCAAAACCTCCTAATCAGCCTCAGTACGCCCCCAGAAATCCAGAAACAGTACACCCACAAACCACATCCCACGGATCCAAACAAGAGCAACCCACATCCCCAAACCACCCCTAAAGTAGCTCAACAGCATTTCCAACCACAAACCCACAATTCCATGACCAAAAAATGTCTCAACTTCGATAAAGAAAACTCATTATGTACTCTGTCATAACCATAATTCAACAGCATCAACGACAAAGATAGATACAAAAAAAAAAAAAGATAATAAGAGACTGAACTTGCCGAGAGAGTCGGTGGTGACTGGTTCGATCTGAAGACGTGTTAACTGTGTGAGATAGATCGCCGGTGATATAGAGAGACGGAGAGCAGAGAGGAGAGAGAATTTCGGGGACGGGCAAAAAAAAAAAAGAAGTGAAAACAGCTGAAGAGGAAAAATAAGGGACGAAAATGAAAAAAGTTGGGAGAAGAGGCTGAAATTCTCATATAAAGAAATGCAGCAATATTTAATATATAAATATTCACACATACTACGCTTTTATCAACGCCATCTTCTCATCTCGAGGAGGAGAGAATCTTCTAAGTTCTAAGCCTCACGTCCGTTTCTCTCTCTCGCTCTCACTGTAATTAGTTTTTTTTTTTTTGTTGATAAATCACTGTAATTAGTTAGTCCATGTGAAAGTTTGATTTAGATGGTATTGCTGCTCAATTCCATGTTATTTTGCACGCCCAACCGAATGAAAAGCTTTTATTTATGTGTTGTTACACTTGTTGTCGGATACAGATTTTTTTTCTAGTTTTGTATAAAAAAATAATTTATTATTATAAATTTTTTATTCATCAATAATTTTAATGTTAATTTTAAAAAAGAAGTATGATCAGTATATCTACTAAAGTATTAGGCAATTGTTTGTTATTTTTTGTAGTCGTTACTTATCGAATGTTGGCCATAGAACCATTAATTCTTGCTGATAATTCACAACAAAACTCTCCCTTCCATCTGCCATCTCCTATCCAATGATGATGACAATGGAATCATATATTTTGCCCTACCGAATGGAGAATTATAGTTGTTTACAAATAAATCATTTAGAGAGTTAATTTTCTTTTTAAGGTGTATCAACATGTGGTGCATAAAACCATTAATATTATTTGTGCCGTTGGGGCAATTGACAATGCCAAGTTCCTTCATTTAATAGGATACCACAAAATTTGTCATAAAACTATACTGTTGGCCTCATGTCAGTCAGGTTGGCCGTTATGGGAAAATAGAAAGTAGAAACCTCCACTTTTGCAACTCCTTTTGTGTCCTACTGTTATGTTGTTTTAGCCCTTTTCTTTTCCTTTCTTTCTTCTTCAAAATCCAAGTGAATCAAAGAAAGTAGCAGCCTCCACTCTTGCATCTCTCAATTTTACATTCTTTCAGCATCATCTGGAGGAAAATAATAAATAAACTTATGGCTGCCACAATCTTCTTCAACATTGAATGGGCCTCGAATCGATGTTTAAAGTGTCTCAAATGAGAATATATGTCAGAAGGTGCTCTCTCTATGTTGTCACATGTACATCAAGTGTGCAGAAAAACGAATTCTCAAACTTCTTAAAATTTTCCAAAACTACTATGATATTGGTATTTGGTATTGCAGTTAACAATTGAATGGTGCTTGCAATTCACATAGGTATTGGTATTTAAAAGAGATAGTGAGTCAAGTGTTATAGGGTAAAAATACCATAATGGGTAGAATTGAACTCACCCACACATATAAGAAGTGAAATAGAAAGGAAAAAAAAAAGTGTAGCAGGGAATTTGAATCACTTGACTCAGCTGCCAACGTGTTTGACTTTTAAACCATAAATCAACATATTCCATTTTTTATGATATTTCAAAGTTCTTTTTGATATACTAAATGCATTACTCTAACAAAAGCATAATTAACTTTTAGAGTATTGAAAACGCAAGAAGATAATGCACCCCTGCTGCTTACCAACATTATTTTATAATGCAAAAAATACCAGAATTAATGGTGGTCTTTTTAAAAATTAAAGACCTTAGTGTGAGACAAGACATCGGTGTCATTGTTTTGAAATGCATATATACTTGATCTTGAAAGAGAAATGAATGCATATATATAGTTAGACTAAGTCATATTATATATCTAATCTTTTGATTGTCAAAAAAGTATAATCTTGTGAAATATTATAATTGATTACGGCATTATAAACAAATATAATTGTTCATCAAAAGTTGACCAAATTTCTTCTTTTTTGTATGACATTTGATTCTGCCTGATCATGATCAAGAAAGTTAGACAGTGGCCGCAGGCCGCTAGTGTTAATTGTGATCTAAGGTTTTCTAAAATCAGGGAAACCATTCTTGTCAAACTTCAAGTGGATCCATATACAAATATTGCAACCGAAAAAAGGCGAGAGAGAGAGAGAGAGAGAGAGAGAGAGAGAGCAAAGCAAATAATAATGCATAAATAGTGTTTAAATATTTTTTTGTGTGTGTGTGTCCCCTCCTAGTTCCAATGGTGACAGGGTGTCTTTGACATTGATTACTTACCACGTTGACTTAGAGTTTCAGATTTCAATTTTTATGTTAGATATTTTCTTTATTTTTAATGTTTTCTTTTTTTCTTTTCTGTCCCTTTTAGGGTAACAGAATTAATAAAAATTACAATTACTTTAATGGTCCGTGTAGTAGGGTGGATGAAAAAATAGAATGATGAAAAGTAAGAGTGATATACTTTATATTCTTTAAGAGAGGAACTCTAATTTTTTTTCCTTCGTTTTTGATAAGAGGAATGAAAATTAGGAATGATTAATTTTTTGTGTTTAGTAAAATAGAAAAAATATTATTTTTTTTAAAAAATAATTATATAATAAAGTACAATACAATTCAAATCTCAAAAGATAAACAAAATGACTTTTGAGATTGAGATCTCTTTAAATTTTATTTTAAAGTTAATCCGATAATTAATATTAATACCCTAAATTTAATAGAGAAAATAGACTCATAAGGGTGTGTTTGGAGTAACTTTTTAAAGTGTTTTTAAAACTTATAACTTCTCATAAATACTTTAAAAAAAAAGTAGTGTTTGGAACCGGCCCACCACCACCACCACCACCACCACCACCTCTACCGCCTCACTATCATCACCATCACCATCGCCACCCTACCACCATAACTACCCCCACCCCCCACCGCCCATAACCACTATCCTCACTGCCACCACCCCCACCACAATCACCACCACCAATTGTTATTATCGTCGTCCACCGCCACCATTCAGCACCATCGTCATTTCATTTTTATATTTATCACTACTATCATCATCATCCCGCTACTAATGTCACCCACCATCAACACCCCATCACCCACCTCTATTACACCTGCCGCCACCACCACCACCGTCATTTACCACCACCCATCACACTGTAGCCTAGAAGCACCTGTCGTCACTCATTACCACCCACACCTATCACCACCACCGCCGTCATCCATAGCTACCATAACCACCATCGTCACCCAAAACCTACCACCACCATCACCATTGTCACTCACGGCTACCACCATCACCACGATCGTTACCACCCACAACAACTATCACCATCTCCCATCACCACCAATTTTGTCTACTATCACTACCACCGCTTACCTCTATTACATTCAGTACTTAAATTCTTTTTTTTTTCTCTTGTTTGTAATTTGATTTTGAATGTGAATACAAATATGTTTATTGTTGACTTTTTTTGTATTATTTCGTGCCTTCAAGTACGAGTAATAATTAGTACTTATATACAAGATCAATGCTACATGAACTTAAAATATTGACTTGATCAATTACTATTATTGATTTATTTGTGGGTCTTAGTATTTATTAGAACTCACTGCATATACAATAGTTGTGATTGATTAAGTTAACAAATTAAGTCAGCATTTTAAATTCATGTAGCATCTTTCTATATACAATAATTTCTACTTAAATTCAAAATTTATAATATAAAATAGGGCAAACTTTAATAAATTTATCCGACAGTCTCAAATAGACTCATATAATGACTACCAATATCTCTCTGAAAATCATTCATAATGAATTTTCCCTCCCTAATCTATCACTTCTTACTTATATTGCACCATGCTTTTAGGCACGGGATTACCCCTAGTAAATATATATTTTACCATTACATCTATATATGAAATTAATGTATACATGTAATTGATAAATATGATATATGTATATATCAAAAGATATATAGACAAATAACATGCATTTCAACACACATAATTAACTTTTCATCCACTTTTCTCTCAATTTTAGAGGGATTGATCTTAGTGACTTAGAAGGAAAGTTAATTCATCAACTTTTTCATACTTCCTATTTTTCCTCTTCACCAAACATGATATTTTATAAATCCCTCAAAATTATGAAGCATAAGACATAATGTTCCATCCATGACAATAGATTAATGGATAAATTATATTCATCTCCCTTAAGGTTTGTCCAAACAATAACTAAATCCCCTCATGTCAAATAACTCTTGTAAAATCTGGTAAATTTAAATTTTTGTAAACAAGGGTAAAATGGTAATTTTGTCGTTACAGTACGGGTTGGAGACCTGAATTTTTCTAGATCTCGGATGATAAAATGAACCTCACCATTGGATTCGTCTCGTAAAATCTAGTTACCACGTCAAATTTTATCGAATTTCGAGATAGTCGGATTTTTTACGTTTTACGAGGCGATCGAGTTTTGGGTGAACTAAAAACAGAATTTTCAATAAAATTTCAAAATTTGGGAAATAATTAAAGTTAAATTAAAATAAAATTAATTTAAACTTGAACCGAGATGAAATTTAATCGTTTCGGGATGAAAATGGACCCGAAAACAAAAGGGCAGTGTGGTGCGTTGTGGGCCAAGTATCCTAAGAGTATAAATAGGAGGGAAAATCAGATTTTTCCCTCATTTCTTCAGCTGGTTAATATGAGAGTGGAAGAGGGGGGAAAAGGAAGGAGCTCTCCACTTCTTTCTACAATCTACGACTCTATGGTGCTCAAATCCACTCGGGGCAAGAACAAAAGTTGTTCTTCTCGCCAAGGGCTACGCGACCACACCAAAAATGACGGGTTTCACTGAAGGTTAAAAAATGAGATTTTAGAGAAGTGATGATTCAAGGTTGTTTTGGGTTCTTGAGGCTTCCCAACGTCATTTTACGCTTCGAGAGGTAGGGGTTCTCCTACTTTGGTTC